CTGTCTGTTTTTCTTTCTTCAAAGAATAGCAACCCATTAAATTCCTATAATTCACAAAGCATTTTTTTTTAAAAAAGCCACCCTCTGGATACCACTCAAGTTGTATACAGCAGAAATATTTCACACCAAAGAGAAGAATTGCAGTGCTTTCTTTTGGCATTTATTTTAAGCTGAGAAAACAGCTATTCTTGGATTCGACGGAAATGCGGGACTTAGCCATTTCTCCTATAAACTGATAAGCAACCAAGCCTAGCTTTCTTAATGATGAATTGTCATTTTTTTAATAAATCTATGAATCATAAAGTGAATGGCTTTTCCCTTTTCAGTGCCAACAAACAGCAACTGGGAAAGTGTTATAGAGAAAGGGTTTCCTTCTTTTTGCTAAGTATAAATCATTGGGCATCGTCCAGATACATACTGTTCAACTTCTATACAAATGTGCCATTGTCAAAAATTCTGGAAGTCTAACAAATATAAATAAATAAATACTAAGAAGAGATGTGATCCTTTTCTTTAAAAATGATGGTAATGTGGAAGGAAATATAGAATGTAGAATTATAGAGTTGGAAGGGATTTGGACATCTTCTAGTCCAACCCCCTGCTCAGGCAGGAAACTCTGGAGCCTGGGGAGGGCGAAAAATGGGCCTACCGGGCCCACCTTGCCATCACGTGTCAAAAGCGGGGGGAGCACAAGGTAGTTGCGCACACATGCATGGGGGTGGGGCACATAGAATTATGGGTGTGGGCACGTGCACACACGAACCCCCTGCGCTCCCCCCGCTTTTGGCACACAATGGCAAAAAGGTTAGCCATTACTGCCCTATACCATTTCAGATAAATGGTTGTTCAATCTCTTCTTAAAAACTTCCAGTGTTGGAGTATTCACAACTTCTGAAGACAAGTTGTTCCACTGATTAATTGTTCTGTCTGGAAATTTCTCCTTAGTTCTAGGTTGCTTCATTCCTTGATTAGTTTCCATCCCTTGCTGCTTGTCCTGTTCTCAGGTGTTTTGGAGAATAGCTTGACTCCCTTTTCTTTGTGGCAGCCCCTGAGATATTGAAACACTGTTATTATATCGCCCCTAGCCTTGTTTTCATTAAACTAGGCATACCCAATTCCAGCAACCATTCTTTATATGTTTTAGCCTCCAGTCCTCTAATCATCTTTGTTGCTCTTCTCTGCACTCTTTCTAGAGTCTCAACATCTTTTTTACATTGTGGCAACCAAAACTGGATGCAGTATTCCAAGTATGGTCTTACCAAGGCATTATAAAATGGTGTTAACACTTCACGTGATCTTGGTTCTATCCCTCTGTTATATATATATATATATATAGATAATCTCTTCTTAGAATAAGGAACAGAAAGGATTGTAATGAAGGACTTTAATTGCAAGATGAATTCAACTACATGAAGCAACAATAGGCCTCCCTTTGCTAGGGATGTTTAAGTAAAAACTGGATGGCCATTGGTCAGAGCTGCTGTTAATTCACTCTGCATTATAGATCCCATTTATCTTTGAGCAGGAGATGGCTTCTAAGGTTACTTCTGATTCTAATAGAATCAGAATATAACATCTGGAGGATCTTAAAGATCATCTAATCCAACCTCCTGACTAATGCAGTGATTATATTATCCCTAACACATGGTCACCGAACCTTTATTCAGCACAAGAAAGTCCAACTCTGGAAGCAGATTGTTCCATGGCTGAATGACACTAACTATTAGGAATTTTTTTTTTCTATGTCTAAATGAGATCTATTGCCTTGTAATTTCTTGTCCTGTCTTCTGGAGTAGTTCTACTCTGTCAGGTTGAACATTTCATTAGCAAATCTAACCCATGTTGCAATTTAGCACAGACATTGTCTTGTGAACTAAGATTGCAGTACAGTCACTTTAAGTTACCTATAATTAAGGATGAGTTACTTTTGCCTCCCAAAGGAATGTGATAAAAGCAGCATGGTACACAGTAAAAAAAAAGCATTGATACAGATAAACGAAGGACTCTAGACTGTATGCTTATTATCCCTGGATTTTTGCTAGAGGTCAAGAATCATAAAAACACTCAAGAGTAAATATGTACCACAAATGTGAGTAAATCTAGATTATAAATCTTATAGAGTAGGAGGAGAAAAATCTCAGCCATCTCGGCAGTTTCTTTTTTCCTATGAAAGGTCTGGCTGAAGAAAGATAACTTTGCATGTGATAATTTGCACATTCAGAAGGCAACTTAAAAGTAATTATTAGAGTTCAAATTTAAACATAAAATGTTTAAATTTAAATATCTCAAAATATGGCTTTTCAGTCAGTTGGAATGGGACAACTTGCCACAGTCAACTTGCTGCGGCCAACTCATCACAGCCAACTCGGCTCAACCAACTCACTGCAGGACATCTTGCCTTCAGACAGCTTGCCATGGGACAATTTAACAATTCAATTTAATTATTTAAAATAAATAAAAATGATTTTAATTTTTGTCATTCACATTTCATTCTGCCCTCCTTTCGCATCCTTTCTTTAATGATTCTATTCTACCATTTCTTTGATATTAGCATAACTCTTATCCTGCAGCAAGTTGGTTGTGGAAAGTTGGCCAAAAGTTGGCCACAGTAAGTTGGCCATGATGAGTTGGCCACGGCAAATTATCATAGACCCTCAACCAATTGTTCTCCAGATATTACCACCAAGTATTGGTTTTTGTTCTCCATCAGTGTGTTTTTCTGTTTAAACCAGACTTAGACTGAACATCTCCTTAAGCAGAATGCCCTACCATCCTACATATAATCATCTAGAAAATACTGAAAACTAGTGGATGAGTCTAAATCATGTTTCTCAACTGTAGCTATGAAAACCCACTGGCTGGGGAATTCTGAGATTTGAAGTCTACACATCTTCAAGCTACCAAGGCTGAATAACTGGTCTAGTTCCATAATTCATTCCTTTATCGCTACTGCTAGAAAAGCAAAGTCTTTTTAGCAAGAACTATGATGATCTTCTTAAGTGGGCAAGAATATTTGTTATCACTTGCAGTATGTACCCAAAGAGTTTCTTAAGGTAAAGGTTCCCCTCGCACAAATGTGCTAGTCGTTCCCCACTCTAGGGGGCAGTGCTCATCTCCATTTCAAATCCGAAGAGCCAGCGCTGTCTGAAGACATCTCCATGGTCATGTGGCCAGCCAAAGGCACATGGAACGCTGTTACCTTCCTACCAAAGGTGGTCCCTATTTTTCTACTTGCATTTTTACATGCTTTTGAACTGCTAGGTTGGCAGAAGCTTGGACAAGTAACGGGAGCTCACCCCATTACGTGACATTAGGGATTTGAACCATTGAACTGCTGACCTTTCGATCGACAAGCTCTATGTCTTAGCCACTGAGCCACCAAGAGTTTCTTACTCTTCTTCATTTTTTTTATATAAAAGAGTTGTCCCATATGCTGACTCAGATGGTGGGAGGTTTTTCTTCTTTTCTAAAGAGAAGCATCATCATCTACCTCATTGAAAAAAGAAGCAACCTATTCCTCTTTGAACTTTCAATAGACTTTGGATACTCACAGCATATACAGCTTTTTGCTTGCCCTCGTCCTTGTTCAGGAAATACAATCCCTGATCATTTATAGAATGAGAGCTTGCTATTGGTAAGCATAAAGCTTTCCCCCTCAAATTACTTTAAAAAGTAAAGCAACTAGCCTCTTTCTTTCCCCTTCCCTTTTCTTTAACCACTCACCACTTGCAATAGCTTGGTAAGGGATCAATTCTTCTTTAGCCCCAAGATGACCAACACAACTCAATTTACCTCCCAGCAAGAGTCCCAAAGGTACTTTTTCAAGAGGCAATTGGAAAAGCACCTTTGGGACAACCATGACCTGGATGACTGAAAATCTCCATAGACTCTCAAGAGTTTTGATAAGAACTACATTATAAAGAGAGGCTTAGACTTAGGGGGTCTATAGGATTGCAGGCTTCAGTTGGGAACACATGGCAAAGCACAGTTCTATTTCCAAAAAAACACTCAGTGTTTGGCATTTCCACATAGAATTGTGCTAGAATGGGGATTTTACCTGAAACTTATAGTAAAGAGAATGCATATTTAATTATCCATGTATTAACTGCAGCTAGAATTGTATTTGCACAAAATTGGAAAAGTGAAGAGATCCCTACTGATGAGAATGTGATTAGGAAAATACTAGAAATGAACAGATTAATGCTTGCAATTAAGGAGAAAGAACAAACTGAATATTTTATGATATGGGAATTATTTTATCAATGGTTAGAGAATAAAAATGGCAGTTGGAAATAAAAGGAGATTAAAGAAGAGTAGAAACTATGTTAAGATAGAGATGTAAATAATATGATTATTGTTATTATGACTATTACGATTATTATGCTTAATATTATTATTATATTTTTATTGGAAGATACGTTAAGAGGGAAAAATGAATAGGTTTATTATGTTCAATACTACAATTGTAAGATCAGAGAATTAATATCAATTTAATGAATGCTGTTGTAAATCTTGATGGTAATTGCACAGAGATATTTGTAACCAGATGACACACTGTTTAAGAGAAGATGGAATGTTTATATTAAAAAATTAAAAAAGAATTAAAAAAAATTGTGCAAGTCCTTTGCTTCTAGTTTTTAGAGTCCTGAGATAGAAAGTTTGCAGCCAGCCAAATATTCCCAGCATCTATGGGCAACATCTGGTGGATAATAGTTCACTCACCCAGTGGAAAGGCTAAGAAGTTAAACCAAGGTTCAAACTCAGCACAAGGCAGCTTCTTTTGATCCAGTGAACTGACAAGTATAAGATTACATTGTCTGGTTGCATATCTATCTATAAATAAGATCCACTGAATGCATTGGAAACAGTTTGGAGTAAACATACAAAGCATTTTACAACATTCTATTATACTTGGATAATGATATATTTATTTCTTTTCCTGCTCAATAAATTCATAGTCCTTGGAAAAAGCCAACCGTCTTTCATCTTATCGGGTGTGTTTTATTGCCATCTGGTTACACAGTAATTTCAGCCTGAGGTTTACAACGAATCATATGATGGAATATCAACTCACCAGCGGTCGGGTAATTGGGCAAACAAGAAATAGTCTGTTAGTACAATCATAGGATAAAGCAGTGAGTAGCAGCAAAGGAAAGGGAGTTAGAAAGGTAACCTTTGAAGGTAAGGAAAAAATTCTGGAGAATTTCTACTTTTTTAAAAAAAGGTTTATAAAAATATATCCTTAACTAAATTTAAAGTAAGAAGAGCAGTTAAAAGGAATAGGAGGAAAGGTGGACTTCTCAAGTTCTTTCCTATGGACCTCTAACATTATGATTATCTGTTGGGATACTTCCTAACCAGATCTGTTCTTTTAGGGAAAAGGAAGATTTTTTTTCCCTGCAGTTATCCTTAATTTTATTATGGTTGCCATCCATCACTCCTAATATTTTAGAAAGAATAGCTTTAAAAAAAAAAAAACTAGAATTGTCTCCAAAGAAAGACACTTCTATTGGGACTAAGATGAGAAAATGAATATATGAAAATCCTTAAAACTTTTTAAACTGTAAATTTTTAGTATAGGTGAGGCTGAACACCTATTTCAATTCAGAATAAAATTATTGCTCACAAATTAAGATTTCTAAATTTTGTGGAGAATTTCCAAGAGGGAAATGGACATTTTTCTTCTTATTTGGTCTTTTGAATGTAAGAATAGAACTCAGGAAGGAGAGACAATCAACTTCTACTTGCCTTTTCCTTACATAAAATGAACAACCAAAAGAATATGACATATACCAAGAATATTTTGTTTACTATTGTGGAATGAAGATGAGCTGCTCCAAGGAATGTGACAAGAAGGAGAAGCCTATTTTGTCTTTTTCTATAGAAGCAATCTTAAAAACCCCACCTACTGATGCTTCCCTCCACAATACAGCGACCTGCAATAGTCAAGCTGAAGTGGCTCAAAAGTTCAGTTCTGAGCCACTTTTGGACAGGTATAAAGGTAGGAAACTTGTTCTAGTTTATGAAACATATGAACATTCTTATCCCTTTGCATGATTTTCAAATTGATTTTTTTAAAAAAAACCACTTGAAGTGTGTTGAATTCATATTTCAGATATAATTGTTAATGTTCTTATGGCTGCTATGGAAATTTTGATCATGCTTTATGGTACATTAATATGACATATGACATTTTAAATTAAAGTTTATTTTCCAGATAACAAAATGGTACCATAAATTGCCAGGTTTGCTTTCCTAGATTTCTTTTTCTTTTACATTTTAATAGATAGATATCTTATACTCTTAATAAGAACACTTAATGTATGCATTCATTAAGTGTTGTTTTTATCCAGGTTATGTGTGTGTGTGTGCTTTAAAGTAGGGCAAAAATTCAAAGCTTTTTCAGTATGTGTCTTTTTTATTTTTAACGACAATTTTTCTAGACTAAATTTGAACAAATTGTTTAAGAATATCTTTTCTTTAAAATGTTATGTCCTAATGTCATACCCAGAGCTTTAAACATATTGGTTTGTTGCCTTATAAATGGGGGAGAAAATCCTTAAGGAAGATCTGATAGGTTTGTGGAGGAAATGTTATTGAATTAGTATTGATGGGGGGAAAATATCAATTATATAGATTCTGATAAGGACAAGGGACATAGCCTGAAAAGGCCATGCTTTTCATTAAGTAATATGGGAACCAAAATGAAGCAACTACCTAGCAGATAATACAAAAGATAATACAAAAAATACAGATATACAGATATATTAAAATACTTCTCCAATAGATGGTTGTCCAGCTTTTTTTTTTTTTTATGTCGACCACCTTTCTAGACAATTGGTTCCATGGTTATATTCTTCCTGAAGTTTAAGTCCATTCTTCCTACCTTCTGGGACAATTGAGAGTAGATGCTGGCATTCTTCAACTGACATCTCTCTAAGAATTTCAAGAGTGCCATCATGAACTTCCCCTGCCTCCGTGATGGCAAACCTATAGCACAGGTGGCATGCATAGCCATATCAGTGGGAATGCAAGCTCAGCTCCAGCGGGGAACAGGCCGTTTTCTGCCTCCAGAGGGCCTCGAGGGGTGGTGGGGAAGGGCCATTTTTTACTGTCCCCAGCCTCCAGAGCAAAGGGGAAGTTGGCAAACGGGCCATTTTCAGCCTCCGGAGGGCCTCAAGGGGGCTGAGGAAGGCTGTTTTTGTGCCCCCCCGACTCCTAGAGAGGCTCTGGGGGCTGGGAACAGCAAAAAAGGGCCTTCCGGTCCCACCGGAAGTTGGCAAACGGGCCATTTCTGGCCTCCGGAGGGCCTCCAGGGGGGTAGGGAAGGCCATTTTCGCCCTCCCCAGACTCCTAGAAAGGCTCTGGAGCCAAGAGAGAGAGAAAAACAAGCCTACCAGGACATCATGTGCCAGGAGTGGGGGGGAGCAGGGTGGGTTGCATGCGCATCCGCGGGGATGGAGTGCATAGAATTATGGATGTGGGCACGTGGGCATGCAACCCCCCCCCCAGCTCCCCCGTCCTGGCATGCAATGACAAAAAGGTTAGCCATCACTGCCCTACATTATTTGAAGCAAAGCATGCTTAGTTTCCACATGATTAAATATGAAGGAGTAGAAAACAGGAGGAGGTGAAATCTAACAGTGTATCTTCTCATTATGGGCTGGTTTGAAATCTGAAAGTTTAAACCACTTCATGTCATGTGGAAATTGCACAAGTGTTAGTCTATTGAAGAGCCCATAGCTAACAGACACACGTAGAGAAGCAGTTGCAATGCACATGCTTTAAGAGATGATGTATAAACATTGTAGCAGCTACTAAAATGGAAAGTCTGTGCTAATCTCCAGAACTGAAGTTGTACTTGAATCTCCGTGCTAGTTCATGAGCACAAAGCATTAGTCTACACTTCTGGTTAAACAAGCTATGAAATGCCAATTTTATTATGAAAGTAAACCCGAGTCCTCAAACACCCAATTGCTATATAAAAGCTTGCACTGTTAAGGCAACATTGTGAATTACCTTCTTGCAAAATGTGATTTGTTTACACATACAGATGGGAATGGGAAACAGACAAAAATCTCTTTCCCAAGAGATGCATTAGGTGTTCATGATAATTCCTCATTCCAATATTTTAGAAAGATATCAGTTGGAGTAGTTCTTTTCAAGCCCATTTTAAAATCTCTTCAAACATTTTGAAAATGAAGTGTTTTAAATTTTAAAGGTTTTTTTCCCCCTGTTATTTAAATAAGGCTGCAATAGCTCTTTCTTCCAACAGCCACTCCTCACATGCTTTCAAATTGTTGAATGCAATTAGAGTCTAAAAGTGGAAGAAATGCATGAATTACGCACCATCCTCTTGCCTTCCCTAAGGTGGAGTATTGGGATCCTTCCTAGATTTCAGTGCCCAGAATTTTCAGCAATGGCTGGGGATTTCTGAGAGATTACATACAGTAGTTGAAGAATGTCCAAGGGAAGAAAAACATCCGTAGTCATTAAGAAGTACTCGTGGGCAATTTTATCAATTGTTCATTTCGTTTTCTTCATCCTAAATGCATTCTTCATGCACTTATCATCTTTTCTAAACACAAACCAAAAATGCTAGTAGTAATTAACTATTACTGGTGGTAATGGTATTAACTACCATTGTCGTAGGTATTTGAACAGTCCTAACTTAGTCCAGCATTTGGTTTCTCAAAGTAGCCTTCTGGGTGCTAACAAGAAGACACTAGGAACATGCCCCCTTGCCAGTTATTATTCCTTTGCCACTGGTGTATAGAAGCATGCTTTCATTTTTTTTCTTTTTTTAAATTTTTATTTATTTCTTTACAAACAAAGTATTTATTCACATACAGATCGCGACGGGAGCTTTACACAATATATTAACGTCAGTCAAAATATACAAATAAGATATAAAATCTACACTAACCTTATCTTCTTTTTATTCTATTATTCAACCAAGTATATCATTGGTCCCAGCATTGAAAATATGCGGAATCCTTTTGATCTCTCAAAATTTTTGTTAACCTGTCAGCTTCCACATATTCCATAATTTTTCAGTCATTGAGAATCCAAGGTTAATATCCCTTGATAGGCCTATCCTCCACAAATTTATCGAACTTCCTTTTTAAAACTATCTGAGCTCATGATTACCACCATTTCTCATGGGTAATGAATTCCAAAGGTTAATTATGTACTGTGTTAAGAATTACTTGTTTTTACCTTTTCTAAATCTCTTTCCTATCAGCTTCATTTGATAACATCATTGGTCCAAGAGAGATAAAAAATGTTCCTGCAAAATTTCCATGTCATGAATGTTTTTGTCTTCTCCTTTCAGTCCCAATTTTTTTAGTGTGAGTGTGTGTGTGTATTTCAAATGTGATGACCACAATGATATACTGCATTCTACATGCATATATAGCCTTGATTTGTTGTTCTTTGTGTTTTTCATCTCATTCCTGATGATCCATAGGATGGAATTTGCTGCTCTATGTTGATATCTTTATTGAGTACTCATAATTCATTATGATCCAGAGTCTTTTCCTAGTTGGTTACAGACTGCTCAAACTCCATTAGAGGTTTTAGAATGCAAAAGATTAGTGGGGTTCACCAATAAAAGCATTACTTTACATTTACTTAATTGTACCCCTATTTGTGCTCAGGGGAATTTTTTAAAAAAACAGCCTTATTCCTTTAGCTAAATAATGTTCCTTAATCACCACTGATTAAGCTTGTTGATCAAAAGGTTGGCAGTTCAGCGGTTCGAATCCCTAGTGCCACATAAGGGGGGTGAGCTCCCATTACTTGTCCCAGCTTCTGCCAACCTAACAGTTCGAAAGCACGTAAAAAATGTAGAAAAGTAGGGATCACCTTTGGTGGGAAGGTAACAGCATTCCGTGCACCTTTGGTGTTTAGTCATGCTGGCCATATGACCACAGAGATGTGTTCAGACAGCGCTGGCTCTTCAGCTTTGAAATAGAGATGAGCATTGCCCCTTAGAGTCGGAAATGACTAGCACATATGCGAGGGGAACCTTTACCTTTAATCACAGCTGATGAGATCTACAATCTTACCTGCTTCCTCACAAAACACATCTGCTCCTTTTTGCCATTACTTTTGTAAGCTCCCATTACAAGTTAAGATGATCCTTAAAAAATTGCAGTTCAGGATAATAACGTACAATAAAAAAGCCAACTGGGTGACTTTGGGCCAATCACCCTCTCTCTCTCAGCCCAAACCACCTTAGAGAGCAGTTGCAGTGGGGAAAAATAGGAAGCTGGTGTATTAGAGATGTAGGCTGGGTTGGATAAAAATTAAAATATTTTCAGGTAACATGACTTTTGGCAGTGTGATATTCTAAAGAACAGATTGGAAAACCAACAGAATAAGTACAAGCATTTTAGGCATCAACTGGTATTCAGTAATATATTTTAATGATAGGATAAAATAGTTACTGAAGGCAGCTATCCTGGAACTACTTTAATCCAAAACCTCTTTGAGTCTTATTGGATTGAGTAGCATACAAACTGCAATAAGTAACCATACATACATACATACATACATACATACATACATACATACATACACATACATACATATTATTTTTCCTGTAGATGAAAGCAGTTTTGTTCCAAGCATCCTTTGTGGAACAAAGGTTCTAATTTTTGTGGCTGAAATTCTGCCATTAAATTTCATCAGCACCATCCCAATATGTTATGGGAAATAAGATGGCTATCTGAAATTTAGTCTAAAGCAGAGTACCTTTGATCTTTGGGCCCTAATATAAAATAGTTTATATTTGCCTATAAAACTGGGCCCTAATATAAAATATGTTATGTTTGCCTATAAAAATAAAAATAAAAAAGATGCTCAAATCAAATCATAATAACTACACAGGTGTTTAGTTTTGTGGCAGCAGTGCCTAAATGCATTGCGTTTCAGGGTTTTTTTTAACATCTAACTAAAAACCCGGTAGTTTCCCATCCAGTTATGGAATGGATTCAA